AAAAAAATGTAACATTTCAAACATTTATGAAAGAGAAATGAACCCCTGTTTTAAATCTTAGCTTCACTGTTTTCCTGCTGTATGACCATGGGGAATTTTCTCTCAATTCTGAGCCTGTTTTCTCTTCATGTGATGAATTATTCAGGCACAGTATGTAAAGACTGTATGCCGAGCAAATGTTAGCCTGTGTCCCTGCTCTTACACTTCTGTGGAAAAAAACAAAACCTCCCCTGCTTCCTTCACCAACCTGCTAAGGATTAAATCCTTGGGTGTAGTCAGCAGAAGATGCTCTTCTGCCAGACCCAGGCAATCTGTAAAGTGGAAAAAAACAAAACCTCCCCTGCTTCCTTCACCAACCTGCTAAGGATTAAATCCTTGGGTGTAGTCAGCAGAAGATGCAGCATGGGATACATTCTTGGTTAAGGGGCTGCACGTCTCTAAGGGTATATGTCTAATGGAAGATACTCCAGATGAGGCCTCAGGAGACAGGACTCTCTTGCCCTTCCACTGTTCATCCTTTGTCACTCTCAACAAGCCTCTTAGATGTCAGCCTCTGGGAACGCAGAGAAGAGTTAGTAAGGGTCTGGAGTTAAGGAGACTGACTGTAACAACTGAAATGTGGCAGGCCATGACCAGAAAGGAGAATGAGGAGAACAAGAACCCAGAGGGGGGATTCCTGACCACTGGCCTTGAAGAATGTAGGATGTAAGTAATTATGAAGACATGGAACAGGGCTCTCGGCAGAAGGAACTGCACAAATACAATGCCAGAATAAGGGTGGTGTCAGGGAAGGCACACACCTTGTTCCACCATCTTTCTGAATGCTTCCTTGATAGGAAGTTTACCACCCAAAATTCTAGTCTACATGGGTACCTCTAATCATGGAGGGTCATCTCTAATACTCATCAAAGCCTCTCTCTCACTGGAGACAGGAAAGAGACTGCCAGGATCATGAACGTCAGGACAAAGGGAGCAGAGGAGCAGAGGTAAATGTGAAAAAGGAAGAGTGGATGAGAACGCTTTTGCAGATATCACTGTAATTTTTTTTTCCTGACCATATTCAAACTTTCTGTCTCATTCAGTCTTTATAAAACCCATAGAAGTAGGCAGGGCAGCAGTCACCACCAGGGTAGTGGAGAAGTGCCCAGCCAGCAGGCGGTATTCCTCCTGCTCCCAGCTAGGAGGGGAAGTGCTTTTCCTTTTCTCATCTACAGATGGAGAGGCATCTGGGACCAGCAATGAGTGTAGGGGCTCTCCCTTACAGGAACAAGGGCATGCTCACACACTTGCTGTCAGGAAGGCTTTTCCAACAGATAGGAGAACAACTGACATGTTCTCTCGGGCCTCAAAAGATAGCTCCTGAGGAGAAGACAGTTTTTTGGTTGTTTCTTTTTTTTTTTTTCTGGCAAATATGAATAAGCATCAGTGCTGGGCCCCCACTGGTGTATAGCAAGGAGGTAGATAACATGAATAGTGATATCCTTTAACAGAATTCTTTCTTGCATGAAGGTAAGCAGAAGGCTATAGAGTATAGAGGGTGGTGCCAGCTTTTGCTGAGTTCTTCTCCAGTCCCAAACAGTCTGTGGGAGGGAATAAGAAAGCCTTCTTGGAGAAGACAAATTCAGTCTTAAAAGATGAAGTCAGTGGAGCCAGGGGACCACCTATTCTAGATGCAATAGAAATAACTTCTTGGGAATTAGAAGAACTCATATGAGGGTGTTTTCACATTTGGAGCATGTGTGATTATGTCAAATCAAAGGCAGATGCTGACCTGAGAAGAGCAGTAGGCTCCCTAGGCACCAATGAGCCAGGCCTCTCCCACCAGCAACCCCCTTCCATTATCTTCACCTACCTGGGTAAAGAGATCTCAGCCAGTCACAGCAGCACCAACCAGCACCAGCTCCTTACCCACCCAACCACCCCTACCCTACTTTCTGGGCCCGATCCTTATTGACAGATCCCCCAGAATCTGAAGGAATTCAAGACAAATGGTTAAGAGGATGGAGTTAATAAAATTTGAAAAATTGAGGCCTGTCACTCCACTAAACTTTTTTCAATACCACTGACAGAAACATATTTCCCCAATGAGTGACCTTCCACAGCTGTAGCGGGCAGGCACAGCCGCAGCCGCGCTGCCAGGAAGCCAGGCTGCTATTTATCAAATATTATAAGCTGGGACAACTAATCTGAAGCAGGAGAGGAAGGAGGGGGTCCTGCACCACACTGCCTAGGGTGCTCCAGGTGTTTGCCCCAGCCCCAGACAGCCAGTGGGAGGTGACGGATGGCCTGCGATTAGTGCTCCCACCTCCTTCCAGCCCTCTCACTTGCTCCCAGAGGCCTGGCCCTCTAGACCAGCTGCTTGGCCTGGAGGGGCCCTGGGTGGGAGGCAAGCGGAGGTCAGGCCAGGGCACGGGCCATCCTGATGCCCCCGAGAGGGCAGCCGGGTGAAGCCCAGCATGGTTATTTATTGGAGTGTAATGGTTTGTGGCCGTTGGTCGTGAAGGTGAAATCGATCAGTGGTAGAAGTCAGGTTCTATCAATTATTAGAGCAATTAGTCAAGTTGGAGGGAGGGTAGGAGTCTGGGGGAGTAATATTGGATGGACATTATCCAGGTGCCCCCTCAGCCTTTCTAAAGTAGGGCAGATATGCTGCCCTGAGGCTCCAGAACCTTGGAGAACCCAGCTGGTTTCCCCTGGCGAGTAGCCTGACCTGAGAGTCTCCTGGACTGGAGCCAAGGCCCAGCAAGCACCACTATAAAAGGAAGCCCCTGAGCTGGCTGGCCCAGGTGCAGACATGTCCTACCTGTCCCCACCCCATGCTTTATGAGAAGTGACATGACTCCTGCTAGAAATTACTCAGTGGCCAATGTTTATGGCACACATTTTTCATTCTGTAAGCAAATATAGATCACTGACAGCACTTGTTTGAAGTAGCTAATCTCATCCTCTCCTCTCTTCTTCCACTTCCTTCTTCTCTCACCTTCTCTCCCTCCTCCCCTCTCTGCCCATGCCTCCTCCCTTCCCTAGTTCCTCTCCGTCCTGGAGATCTAATCCCCACTCTGCAGAGCACATAACTAATAGCAGAACTCCCCTCATGGCAGCCAGAGAAAAGAGGCCTCTCCATTACTCCTTTGAGGCTCCTGGCCTAGCTGTGCTATGGGAATGAGAAAGATGCTGCCTGGCACTGGCCCCTTGGACCTTGCAGGATCCCATTCAGTGCCCAGCACCCAGAAAGCAGGGCCATGCCAAGACAATAAGCCCCAAATGATCTATTCCTTCTTTAACTCTGTGGTTCTTGTCTGCCTGTCCTTCAGCACAGAGGCAATCTCGACCTGTGTCACTGTCATGAGCTCAGCATGTCCCCATAAGCTCTTGAAGAGCTGAGTTTGTGCTTGACTCAAACTCAAAGGATACCTGTTCCTAAAAATAGGAAAAGATGTCTGCAAAAGAGACAGACAGACTGGTCACAGAAATGAGGGGAGGGTTTGAAAAGAGGTCTTAAAAAACTCAAAGAAGTCAATGGCCAGATTACCAGTTACCACAGAACAGTAAGGAGGAATTTAAAAAAAAACCCCGCACTCAGGATAACAAGGCAGGGGTAGCTCCGTCAAGTTCAGGGATGGGGTGGGCTATATAGCGAGCTTAAGGCCAGCTCTTCTCTAAAACCAAAAACAAAGTAAGTATGTGGTAAGTATGTGGGGAAGGGCTGGAGGGAGCTCCTGGGTTAGGAGTGCATGCTTTCAATTCAGCAGACACATCAGGCAGCTCACAACAATGTAACTCCAGCTCCTATGCCTCTGACCTCTGTAGGTACCTACACGCGCACACACACACACACACACACACACACGTGTGCGCTCAAATAAATCTTGAAAAAAAAGTATATAAAGAAACTTGCTCATTAGCCCCGGCATTCCTGCATACATAGAGCTACTGGTATGCAGTGCCCAGTGAGTGCCAACTGATCTAAAAGAAAGAATGAGGCTCTGTGTGAGCCTCTGGGTTCTTAAAAGACTAGAAGCTTAGTAGTGCTGGTAACACACATCTCATTCAGCCGGGCTATTCGGGAGACACTCAGTAAATACCAGTGTTGAACTAGGAAGATCCCTCCTGTTGAAACAGCCCCCTCACTAAGGAGGCTGGCTATACTTGGTGCTGTGGACCATGAAGGTCCACTGGAGGGATTTCAGCAGTGGTGCATCATTGCCACTCTGTTGAGGGTGTGGAGAATTGGAGTTAGGAAAACCTAGGGCTAGGGTGGACTCTTGGCTCAAAACAATAGGCCCGAAGCTAATGGCCATGCTTGATCCAGTTTCCATGTCTGTGCCAGCACTTAGAAGGTAGTCGTGTGGCTCTCAGCTAACCTTTTTCCTCCAGTCATCAGAACATACACACCCTCGTCATCAGCTAGCAGGGCAGAGCCACAGTCCTGAGATGTTCACACCCTTCCAGAGGACTTGGCTGACTCTGGCTGGCAGGAAAGAGAAGAGCTGGGTGTAGTGAGTCACACCTGTAACCCCATTTAGGAGGCTGAGATAGAAGGGTTGCTTTGAGTTTGAGGCAAGCCTACTCTACATAGCAAGTACCAGGGCCTTTCAGTTACTATTCTGTTTTAGAAAGGAACTCTCTATATGGCTTTGTGTTCCTTTATATGCAGTTATATTGGAAAATCTGAACATTTTAATGAATGTATGTATGTATAGACATGAATATTTGTGTTGTGTGTATAGATCTATGAATTTATTTGCTGAGTTGTATTAGCATGTTTAGCTACATATACATATATATGAAGGCCCTAGTATCCTGACCTCCATCAGGGAGGGCCACATATTCTCTCCTTCCAGAGTAACTTAGTATGTTTTGCTGTCATTTTATAATCTCATAAATTTCCATGGGGATTCATACTGAAATTGAGGCTCCCAAGCCACCTGTGGGTGAATACTGAGGACCCGCTAATCATTCATATAGCCCCTGAACTTTCATCCTTTTCTTCCTGACAGGAGCCAACCCCCTTCAGAGGAATGAGATGGGACACACACCGTTGGATTATGCCCGGGAAGGGGAAGTTATGAAGCTTCTGAAAACTTCCGAGACCAAGGTGAGTAAAGAGAGGAGGCTGTGGATACATATGCGTCATTTAACCTTCCACTCTTTTGGTTTTTGTTTTGTTTCATTTTGTTTTGTTTTTGGAGGGGATTGTTAAAGGCTATCCTTATTGCTGTTGTTATTGTTATTATTGTATGGAGTGTTTGTATGAGAATGTTCAACACCTGTGTGTCTGTATCTGGAAAAGGGCATTAGATCCCCTGGAACCAGAGTTCAGACAGTTGTTAGCGGCCACATGGGTGTCAGGAACAGAACCCAGGTCCTCTGGAATAACAGCCAGCGCTCTGAGCCATCTCTCCAGCCCATAACCTTCCACTTTTTCAATTACTTCACTTTCCACACCAAAAGCACTTAAGTGATCTTTTATTTTCTGGCAACTTGTCTTACTACATAGACAGGCTGGCACTCCCAGAGTAAGTTATCAAGACTGAAGCAAATGCAGTTGATCACTGGTGGTAGATATAGATATGTATGTGTGCATGCCTGCGTGTGTGTATATATGGTTCCATGAAGGAATGAGCCCAGAACACCTGGCTTTCTGACCTTTGTATTGTTCTCTTTCTAGCATATGGAATCTGTTGTCTGCAGACTGGCTGAGTGCTGGGATTGCAGGCATGCATCACTAAGCCAACCCTTGATGGTTATTGTCTATTTAGATTCACATCCAGCTCTGGTCTTACCAAGAATAGGGAGATTTCCTGTCATAAACATGGAGAGGAAGAGGCCCAAGCCTTTTGTGGCTTCTGAAAATTAACAGTCATATTTATTTTTAAGGCGACAGCCTCCCAGCTTCTTTTCAGCAGAAGGTACTAACCAAATGAAGTCTTGAGTAAAATATTAGTTTCTAGCTGAGTGATGATGGCACATACTTTTACTCCCAAGTGCTTGGGAGGCAAAGACAGGTGGATCTCTGTGAGATGGAGGCCAGGCTGGTCTACAAAGCAAGTTCCAGGACAGCCAGGGCTATTACACAGAGAAACCCTGTATCAAAAAACCGGAAGAAAAAAAATTTCCTCAGGCCTCACATACCCTACAGCCTCCTACAGCGTCCCTTCCAATTGTCACTCCTTCACCCTTACTCTCCACACAATCTCAGTAAGAATCATCTCCATTCTAATGTTATTTTCTCAACCAAACTTTCAAACTCCCTGAAAAATAAGAGTAAGGCTCCAGTTTTGCCCATTCTCTGCATCTACAATTTGGGAGCAATTGGGTAGAATCCAAGAACCAGAGCACAAATCTCAGACCTGGCAGGAACCAGGACAGTCCTCAGATCCTGTGATGGGGAAATCTTAAGAAAGCAAAACAAATAAATTAGGAAGAAATGGAACTATTCTGGTTGAAGGGAAGATGGCCCAAGTGTTGCCCATGCAGCACACTCTTCCCTCCTGGCAGCTGCTGAGAGGCATGGTACAGCCGCTGCAGTAGACGTGGATATAAATTTCTGAAATGTGCACCTGCTTACTTGTTTTACTCCTGGAGATACTGAATTCAATGCAGCTTGCCTTTGTCCCATAGTGAGTTAGCATCAAAAATGAAACTAAAACACTTGACCACAAGAGCATCTGATGAGTTCTGTGGCAGATGTAGCCTGGAATACCAGGCTTCTGATCCCTCGTCCTTGCTCTTTCCAACATTGTATTGTTCACAGAGATAATTCAGTGTGACAGGTCCCACCTAGTGGCAGATACTCTGCCTTTCTGAGACAGCAAAGACTTGGGTTCTCACCCTACTCCATCACTCTGCCTGTATGACTTTCCTCACTTAAACCTCCGTGAAGCTCCAGGGAAGGAAAATATTGAACTGAATAGTCCCTAAGGTTCAGCCAGATGTATGATTACATATCCATCAGGATAAGCTGAACTGTGCTGCTGTAATCATCCAAAATTTCATTGGTTTGAACAACACTTATTTTGCCTTGTGCAGATGTTTACTGTTGCTGGGAATGAGGGAAACTCTGCTCATCAAGGGCACTAAGATCCTACCTTTACAGTACCCTCTCCCTCCACCCTACCCTGCCCCCAGTTGCTGGTTGCTTGCCGGAGAATAAAGTATACTCTGAAGGGTCTTAAGTTTTCAGTTGAGAGAAGGCAGTGTGGCACTTACCACACAAGCCTCACAACCTGAGTTGTATGTCTAAAACCCATGTAAAAGGTAGAAGGAGGTAACCAACTCCACATAATTGCCCTCTGACCTCTACACCATTGGCCACACTCACAGCTGACTACTCAGCCTGCAAGTAGAGCCCTTTATTTCCTACAACTCACTGTCCAGAACTAACCACAGGATCCTACCAAATCAAACAAGGGCAAAAAGAGTAATCCTGCCAAATTCATAGGAGAGCTGGAACAACTTGGTAATCAGCCTTAGCCACCAAGAGGGTATCTCTGATATGCTTAGTCATTGTCTTAGGATAATTTCTTAAGAGATAGGTTAAGAAATGGTAGCTAGCTTTTCACAGCCCATCCAAGTTGGTTCTTGGGACCAAAAAGAGCTACTAAATTCAAGGTGCCCTAGGAACAGCTGCACTACCATTCAGGTCAGCTTTCCCACTGCCTTGATGAAATCCCTGCTGGTTCCAGATAGCCTCAGGAACTGTATCCCATCACCTCCTCTTTAGACCTGGCAAAACACGTGGGCTGGTGCTGGTCGTGCCAAGGTTCTTTCAAAGTGAACAAGCATCTTAATGTCAGCACAGGTCCTTAGAGGTACTGAAGGCCACTTAAAATATGATCACCTAAGGGAGGTGGCCATAGTATCAGCCTAGGACCAGGTGCCCTCAGTGTCTCTACTTTCTTGTTCTGTCATCTGTGTTGTCTTTGGGTTGGTTGTTCTGTCTCTCCTTACTCCTTAATCCTCGGCTCGTTTTCACCAGACGGCAAGATCTGGCTCTTTAAGGCAGATTTTTGTGGGGAAAGTTCTGTTTTGACATGAGCTCCATCTCCCTCTACCAGTAGTAAGCAATAGAGTTCAGGCCCTGCCATCTATAGCAGTGACTCAGACTTGGAAGGCACTGGGGTCCCAGCTCAGACTTTCCCTCCTCGTTGTGTCTATGTGTGTATCTAGTTAGGGTTTCTATCGATGTGATGAAACAAATACCATGACTAAAATTAGTGTGGGAAGGAAAGAGTTTATTTCACTCACAGTTCCATGTAACAGTTAGTTCATCAGCAAAAGCAGTGCAGGCAGGAGCCTGGAGGTAGGAGCTGATGCAGAGGCCATGGAGGGGTGCTGCTTATTGTCTTGCTCCTCATAGCTGGCTCAACCTGTTTTCTTATAGAATCCAGGACCACCAGCCCAAGAATTGCACCATCCACAATGGGTTGGACCCTCTTCCATCAACCACTAGTTAAGAAACTGCCTAACAGACTAACCTACAGCCTGATCTTTTTGTTTTGATTTGGTTTGGTTTGATTTGGTTTTTGTTTTTTCAAGACAGGGTCTCTCTGTGTAGCCCTGGCTGTCATGGAACTCTCTGTAGACCAGGATGGCCTAGAACTCAGAGATCTGCCTGCCTCTGTCTCCTGAGTGCTGAGATTAAAGGTGTGCACCACCACTGCCCAGCTTACTGAGGCATTTTTTTTTTCTTTTTCTTTTTTCTTTTTTCTTTTTCTTCTCTTTTTTTTTGCTTTTTCGAGACAGGGTTTCTCTGTGTAGCGTTGGAGCCTATCCTGGCACTCTCTCTGGAGATCAGGCTGGCCTCGAACTCACAGAGATCCGCCTGTCTGCCTCCCAAGTGCTGGGATTAAAGGCATGCGCCACCAACACCTGGCGAGGCATTTTCTTAATTGAGGTCCCCTCCTCTCAGATGACCCCAGCTTGTGTCAAGTTGACACAGGACTGTCCGGCACGGTGTGAGTACTACTGGTCTGATCTTACCTTGTTCCCCTTCTGTCCCTCCTGCACTGTACCCCACTAGTACCCAGTAAGCCTCTTCCACCTTGACCCACCATTCTCTAGTCAAATTACACTCATTATAGAAAATGTGTGAGTATTAACATCATATGTTTGATTATGGAAGCTTTTGGAAATAAGATGAAGAGAATTTAATGTTATTTAGCCTATTTATGAATGACAGATCTGTGCTGGACTGTGGGCTAGATAGCAGAAAACAAATGAGTAAGTCCCTCCAGGAGTTCACAGTCTAACAGGCAGTCAGGCAATGAATCAGTGGGATGATAGTCAAGAAAGGCTTCCTGCAAGAGCGGTCACCTAAGCCCAATCCCAATGAAAGTATCCTGCCTACTGCCTATGTATAGTGCTGCTCATGTTGTTATTCCTAACAGCTATTGAGTACATCTAGTGCTTAACATGCACTTTCTCTACTTCTGTAACAAACCTCAGGGAAAACTGAATAGGCAAGAAAGAAGGAAGTAACACACAGGAAATAAGGCTGTCTTGGGATTTTAAAAATGTGCCTCAGTAGTACTTTGTCAACTCTTTTGAGACCATATCCACATTTCTTTACATAGGTGGCCTTTTTGCCTAAACTTAATGGCCACTATGTCTTATATGCCAACCCAGAATTCCCAAAAATGTGGATTTAATGATGCAGGACTTTCAGCATTAGATTTTCTTCATCTATTACCAAATGGCAAATGGGACAGTAACAGAAAGGGGTTAGGGGATAGACTCTGCTGCCGTGTCCCTGCTGTATTATGTCATCACCTGCCAGGCATTTGTGTTACCTGCTTGGCCCAGAAGGTGATACTAAATCTCCCCTCCTACCTTACTATTAGTCATTTCTGCATATTTAAAATTATTCATAATCCTAATATTTTACCTTATTCCTCCTTTTAAAATATGTCACTGGCTCTCAGAATCTCTGTCACCTTAACTGGATCAAGTGACTTCTTGCAATGAACTCTCGGGCTCTCTGAGTCTTTACTGAACAGTTCCCAGGCCTAAGCTGCTTTAACCCCAGGAGACCTGAAGTGGAGAGGCCCAGCCACTGTCTCTTGCTTGCTGTCCTACTATGGGAGAGTCAGGCAT